GGAGGAGCGAGAGCGCCTTCATTTATTTCTTTATTTACTTATTTATTTACCTCCCAGCAGTTTCCCCCTCAGAACTGCTCCACAAATGACCCTCGAGCCTCAACGCAGCCCGCCTGCCCCTTGTGAGCCTCCTCAGTCGCCGCCTGCGGGAGGGACGCGTCAGGGAAAAGCCGAAACATGAACATTTTTTATATAACCTCAATCAGAAAAGCCAAGAAATGCGCATTTTTTCGTAACCCCAAAGAGGGTCAGGTCCAGAAATGAGTATTTTTCAAATCTCCAAACAGAAAAAACCCGAGCATTTTTCATACCCTCAAAATCCAGTGTTGCTGCCCATCATTAAATTAGTTGGTGCAGGCAGGAAGAGAACACGCTCCCATATTTTAAAAACTGACAAGTCAGAGTACATTGCTGCTCCAAGACACTAATTGCGACTTATTTTCGCCAAGCATTAGGCAGAGTAGCCGATATTAAAGTGGTTTTAGTGAAGCTTTAGGTATTCCTGTCTGCTGCCAGAGTTCTCTGGGATCTGATGTTATCTAGAGTTTATCAGAGAGGAAAGCTGGAGTTGTCTGGATCCGCTCCCCGGAAGCTGCCATGGCCTCCAAGAGCCTCGCCTGGTCCTGTCCCTGTTCTCCATCCCTCCAGAACGAGCTCCTCTGAAGCAGAACTTCCCTTTATCCATTGATGAAATTTCCATTAAAAAAACAAAACCATACTGACCATCTACAGGCCTAAGTCCCTCTCATGAGCTTTCTGAGGTGCCTTTAGAGATATCCATCCATGTGTCAGAGGTCATCCCTGAGGCAAAGGAAAACCAACAGTTACTACTCCCTCAGTTCTGTGCCAGCATCACGTGGAATTTAAACACACGCACGGGCTCCAGAAAAAGAGGAAATAAAACTCTGCAAGCCCTATCAAACAGAAAATACCCCCTGCTTTGCCAAGCTGTTCTCTCCATTTTTTTTTTTCCACAAACAGCATCTGCCAGAGATCCAGGAGTCGGTCAGCAAAGCCAAGGAGATCAAGCTCAGAGGGAGAGGAAGGCGAGTTCCTCAGGGAAGAGCAGGTTTTACCGAGGCCACTGCTTCTCCTTGTCGGTGAGAGGGACGTAGATGACGCCCATGAGCTGCGTCTCCACGATGCGCCCGTCGCCGGTCTTGTCGTACTGCATCAGCACCTGGTTGGCCCCCTCGGGCCCCACGGGCACGATCAGCCGCCCGCCCGGCTTCAGCTCCTTCAGCAGCTGCGGCGGCCAGAAACCCCGCTCAGCAGAGGCGGAACAGCCCGCGCCCAGGGAAGGAGCGGCGTTGGGAAGGCCGTGGCGGAAGATGAGCTGGCAGTGGTGCCCTCGTTTCCTCTAGGGACGCCCAGCACGGCCTCTCTTACCTCCTTGGGGACGGCGGCTGCGGCCGCTCCCACGTGGATGGCATCGTAGGGAGCCTCCTCGGGGTATCCCTGCCTGCCGTCCCCAACTACAGAGAGAAAACACCCAGGGAACACTTTGGTTGTCGTAACAACTCAAAGCATCAACCCTGGAAGGACTCGGAGGAGCAGAGCCGAGGGAAAAGCCCTGGGACTGCAGGCAGCTCACCCACAAGCTTCACGCGGCCGGAGCTGAGCAGCGCCGGATCATCCTCCTGGACGTTCCGGATGGATTCGTGCACCAGCTCCTTGATGTGCTCCACACCCACAGCTTTTCCCGTCGGGCCAGTCTGGAAAAAACATCAAATACCTGATGCCTCCCGCATGGAAGAGCCAGGGCAGGTTTCAGCAGGAACTGGGGAATCTCCAGGAAGAAACTCCAGAGCAGAGGTTCTGAAGAAGAGGTGCAAGCCCTGTGTCCCTTCCTTGGTTTTAAGGCTGAGTACTCCCATTATACCAGCTAATTAAGGGACGTGCTTCCCAGGCTGGGAACAGGGTGCCGTGAGCTCACCATCCTGGCGAAGCACGCAGTGAGGTATCCGCTCCCAGATCCCACATCCAGCGCCTTGGCACCTTCCACCAGCTGATCCTTGAGCAGCTCCAGCGCGTGGGCGTGCTGCAGGGACACCCAGGACAAGGAAGCGGGAAACATCCCAGGGTTAGGCTCCTCTTCCAACACTTTTTCTCGTTTTCTGATTTAATCACAGCACACCTGGCCTCGTGCCTGACACTTCCAGAGCAAAACTCAAGTGTCAGACCTGGAAGATCTTTTGCAGGACATCATTTAGGCAGAGGCTCGGGAATTAGACGTGAAACAGCAGGAGAAAAAGTCTCATGCAAAAAAAGGGACGACAAAAGGAAATTCCCATCTAAGCACACTTTTAAAGCAACTGAAAGAGTACAGGGGAAGCTCCTCTTAAGAAGAAAAATCCCTAAGGAAACAAGCAGGATAATCATGCCCATGGGATGTCTCAGTTTTCTACTTGAAGACAAATTAAACACAAAAAGAGAAATAAACAATTCCCTCCATTTCTGTGGAAAGTGAGGAGTTTCCACCTTACCATGTGCGGGGCGCTGATCGTAGCCTTGTAGCCTAAAAGGGAACGGGTGACACAAGTTATTTGACAAGGAGTAAAATTCCCAGTGGGAACAGTTCCTAATTCTCCCCCACCTTCTCCCAAAAATAGGAAAACACTTGTCTCCTTGCACAGAACCACAGGATGATTTGGGTTGGAAGGGACCTTAAAGCTCATCCAGTCCCTGCCACGGGCGGGGACACCTTCCCTTAGACCAGGTTACTCCAAGGACCATCCAACCTGGCCTTGGACACTTCCAGGGATAGGGATTCCACAACATGACCATGGAGCACCTGCCAAGGCTCCTTGTGCCCTGCTGACAGCAGATGTTTTGCCAGAAGTGACTCACCAATGGACTGAGGAGAATCCATGTATGGGAAATACTTGATGTAGTGACCTCTGTCCGTAGCCAACAGCACATCGAAGACTCGCTGAGACTTAATGATCCCTTTTTCTGGGAAACAAGGAAAACAGAGACAGGCAGGAATGAAACCCTGGGCATTCCAGCAAGAAGAGATTTGAGAGGGGAAGCACACTTCAGGGAGTTCGTGGATCTGGGGGTACTAATGAGGGATCTGAGAGAGACGGCAAACCAAACCCTGCCAGAAGGACATCCTTTCCCATTCCCGCTGGGCCCAGCCGCCAGCCCATCTCCAGAGGGTGGCCAGCAGCACCACGACGCCTCCGCCCCTGCCGGGTGTACCGGGACCGAACGGAGTCACGTCCCACGGCGGGAAACCGAGACTCGGGCTCCGCTTTCAGCAGCCAGCTCAAGGGCCACCAGTGCACAGACATCCAACATGCCTTCAGACCTTTCTGCGGGAATTCTGGGGAAGTTTACAGCTGTTGTTATGTGTGTTCCAGCCCGCTGTCCTGGCACCATTCCAGCCGCCGGGCACAGCAGGGATGTGCGGGACACTCGGCTGCAGCCCGGGCTCGGAACACCGATCTGCAGCGCTTTAAAGGGCGCCGCACGCTTCCAGAGGCCGGGAAGGAAGGTGTGGAGAGGCTCCTGCCCCTCCTGGCACAACACCTTGTTTCCAGCTATAAATAGAACGAGTTCAGGCTGGGGCAAATGCCGGGATTCGGGAACATTAACCCCAACCCTTCCGAGGGAGCAGCGTCACACGGCTAAATACCCACACACAGACATTAAATATCCGCACACTGACATTCCAAGGGGTGCTGCCGGCACTCACTGTAGAGGTTGTTGACCAGCTCCGCGTGCGTTTTCCCGCTGGATGTCCAGGCCATGGTCCTGGCGAAGAGCAGCCCCATGAGTGCCAGCACGGCGCCGCACGGCAGCTGGCTCATCCCACGGACACGGCAGCGGCCTGCGGGGAGAGGGGGTTCAGAGGCGCGCCGGAGCTCCCCGTGTCCCGCTGGAACACATCCCGGCCTGGGCTGCGGCAGAGCCCCGGCGGTGTCACACCGCACTCGCCTGCGCCGCCCGGGACACCTTCCGCCCTCTGCCAACATGGCGGCGCGCCGGCGTCAGCGTCTCCCGTCCCGCGGACCAATGGGCGCTCCCGTTCCGCAGGCGGCGCGCGGTGATTGGTCGGACGCGGGGCCGATGGCGGCGGTGATTGGCCGGGCCCGGAGCCGGAGAGGCGCGGGCGGAGCTGCCGCGGTGCCCGGAGCGCGGGCGGTGGGTGAGGGAGCGGGGCGGCCCCTCCGCCTCACGGGCAGCCGCGGGGACATCGCTCCCCGCAGGGCGGCCGGGAGTCCCGGTGGGATGAGAATCCCCTGGAATGTCCGCTGGCGTGACTTGGGCAGAGGGAGGGGGGTGGCGGAGGCCTGGGCGGGCGGGCTCGGTGCTGAGCGTTTGTTCCCCCGTGGCAGGATCCCAGGATGAGGATGATCGAGAGCGTGGACCCCGCGGTGACCAGGTCCGGCGAGGACCTCTGGGCTGAGATCTGCTCCTGCCTGCCACATCCCGAGCACCAGGACGCCGGCGATGCTTTCACAGACTCCTTCATGGATTCCTACGCCCAGGGCAGCGGATCGGGAGGCTCTTCCCAGCCCAGCCCGAAGCCCTGGGCACCCCTGAACGACTCCGAGGTGTATTTAGCGTCCCTGGGTGAGTGTCTCCCGCTGCTGAGGTGCCTGGTGACAGCTCTGATTTTGTGGCGGTCAAAAAGTCTCGCAGCTATTGCACACAGAATGTGACTCGTTTTCTTCGCGTGCAGCAGTGGAAGGGTGAAGATCAGTCACAGCTTCTTCGTCTCTGCCACAGAAGGGAACTTTTTGTAAAGCAAAAGCTGAAAAAAAATTGGTTTTTTACCCTCCACAATAAGTAGGAGGCTGCACACAGCAACAGAACAGGTGGCAGAAGTGGCTTTTTAAGCTTTTATTTCTGCCAGAACTTTCATCGTGCCTTTGTTGCTGTTTCACAACGCACCAATGAGAGTGATTTATTTTCCAATTTGCATGGAAATTGTGGGAACTCAGTGCCTGTGAGATCCATGCCGTCCTGTGTGATTTCATGGAAGCTGAGCAGTAAGTGTGAAAGTTATTAAAACCCCACATGGGCAGAGCTGGCTGATTGCACAAACCTTATTTCCTTCAGAAGCATCACCTGAAAAACATCATCTTGTGTATATGTAGGAAAGAAAGCCAGGCAGGCTTGAAGTACAGGGGGAAAATTACTTTTAAAATATAAATTAGTCTTGAAAAGTTAATTTAACTTACTTTTTGATATAGCAGTCCAGATCCTTCTCTTCTCTCCTTCCAGAAAAAAAAAAAACCCCATAACCAAGATACCAAAACCCCCTGTTCTCCTCACAGAGAGAAGACTGATGAGGATCAAAGGCCTGTCCCAGGAGGTGACCTCCAAGGACATGCTGCGCACGCTGTCCCAGGCCAAGAAGGAATGCTGGGACAGGTTCCTGCAGGAGAAGTTTGAGGCAGAATGTTACGTTGAGGGCCACGATGCCGACGAGAGGTAACGAGCAAGTCGGTGGGAAGGGCCACCGCTCACCCCTCAAAAAGTGGAAGAAGGTTTTGTCAGGAATTACACAGAAACACCACCTCCCTGCAGCTCGGAGAGGCTGCCACAGGATTCCTGCAGCATTTTGGGAATGCCCACTGGGGTTGTGCTAGAGGGAACACAGAGCACGGAGGGTTTGAGCTTCCCGTGCTCCTTTCTGGTCTTTGCACGGAAGCAGCCGGAACCTACTCAGTGATTTCTCTCCTCACAGGTGGGGTAGGGAGGGAATGCAGCAGGGCAGGGAATGCCCAGTGTGTCTCAGATGGGGATTTGGGGTTGGTGCCAGTCCTGGGATGAGATTTCCCTTCCTTGCCTCTCTCCCCCACTGCCCTCTCACAGATGATGTCAGAAGTAAGATGGGAGCCCTTTTCCTAAGCAATCTCCCATTCCCAATCACACGGAACACTCTCCAAACTCCTCATTTCTCAGCTGACATTTTCCATGATTGCTTCTGGATGACAAGAAGATTATTTCTCTCCCTTGAAGAAAATCTACTTAAGCCAGAACTATGAAAAGTAATCCCTGTTTATAAGGAGGCTTCAGATGGTTTCTTTGGTCCCCAGTTAACTTCAATGCGATTTATATTTAAAACCAAACTTTTATGTGCTCTTTTTACTGTTTTTAAAGGGTGGGGATGTTATCCATGAAAGAATTTCAGTCCCTAGAACTTGACTATGAAGTTGGAGGTCACTCCTGAGTGACTGAAGTTTTGAGTCTCACCCACTGACGTAATTAAACAAGCCTTAGTTTTTAAGAGCACTGAATTATGATGTTAGATTGTTAGGATTGTATTGGTTTTTTAACCTTCCAGTGTTATTAATACTCACACATTTTGAGATATTCTTCCAGCTTTGATTTTGTTCCCTTCCCTTTCCCCCCCTGTATTTCCTGATCTTCATCACTAAGAGGCAGTTAGGGCTTTGGTTTGTTTGAACAAGAGGTTTATAACTTCCAGCCCAGAAAGCTGGAAACTCCTGGGTTCATGGATTGGTTTGGGCTGGAGGGGACCGTAAGGCACTTCCAGTTCCACCCACCTTCCCTGGGCAGGGACACCTTCCACCATCCCAGGCTGCTCCAAACCCCATCCAGCCTAGCCTCGGACCCTTCCAGGGATGGAGCAGCCACAGCTTCCCTGGGCACCCTGTGCCAGGGCCTCAGCACCCTCACAGGGAAGGAATTCTTCCCAATATCCCATCTAACCCTGCCCTCTGTCTGATGGAGCTGGAGTCTGGCTGCAGAGGCAGAGGAGACCTTCAGGTGTGTGAGGGCTGAAAGGGCTCCTGGGCAGGTCCTTTCCCCTGACAGAAATCAGAGCACAAAACCTGTTCTCACCACAGTTTCAAAGGCCCACTGCAGGGAATGGCTTTGGAGAATGACAGATTTGCTTGTCCCTCTGCACCAGGATCCACCCCACGCCAGACCTCACCTGTGGGGACAGGAACACCTGCAGAGGGGCAGGAATTGCCTGATGAGGCTTTTCCTGTCGCTCCTCTCGTGTGTTCCCCTGTGGCTCCGTCACTCGCTGGCCTCACGGTGTCCCTTTGCTGTCCCCAGCACGCTGGAGCACCTGAAGCGCTGGCTGCAGCCTGACAAAGTGGCCATCAGCTCCGAGGAGGTGCAGTGCCTCATCCCGCCGGAATCGCAGCCGGAGAAGCCGGAGGCCGAGGAGGAGCCTCCGGCTGCGGAGCAGTGAGAGCCCCGGGGCCGCCTCTTGTCCCAGCCCCCAGGAAGATGTACCCAGCCATAGGAATAGCAGGAAGAGGGGCACAGAGCAAATTACCAATAATTGAAAAAGTAATTTTTAAAAGAAAGAATGCCCAACACACCAAATCCCAGCTCTGGAGCTCCGCAGACAGCGACTGGCACGGGTAGGGACGAGAGGGAACGCCTGTGACACGGCTGAACCCAAACCTCACGTTGATCTTCTCCAGCCTGCAGCCACCTCATCATTCCAGCCTGGATGTGGATTGTTTGGGATCCATCAGGAGACACATTCAACAACAACAACAAAAGCAGTTGTGGTGGAGAAGCACCAGAAAACATCACGGTCCAGAATGGAGCAGAGAAACCACTGAATCACTTTGGTCCTGTCTTTTACCTTTTCATTACTCAGCTGGGCATTTTTTTCCTCTCCTGCCAAATCCACTTTGGTGTTTTCTCCAGGTCTTCACTGTTTCAGTCTGACTTGGCCCCAAGCTGTGCCAGGAAGAAGATGGATGTTTCCCACCTCTGTGAATTTGGGAGCCTGAAGGAAGCTCTCACTGCAGTCAATAAATTGATGTTGTCTTTGACATTGTAGCTATTTCACATTCCTCTCTGTAATGTAACCCCTAATATCCCACTTTATTGCCCAAAATCTCTATTGCAGACTGTAGGGGGAGTATTTTTCCTCTTGTTGGTCGTTTTGTACCTGTTCAGCCTCTCCAGAAAAAAATCAGATGAGATTCTGTATTGGGAAACCAAGAGGGGTAGCCAGAGGGGCTACAAACAACTTGTTTTCATCACAGAATTGCACAGAATTCTCTGACTTGAAATATATTTAGTATTAAATTGTTTTTTTCACCCTACTTAACTTTTCAAAGGGTTATTCCCTTTTATTAATCCAAGAATCTGTGATTTTGTGCTGATTTTCACTGATCTGTGTGTTCTGCCTTGGTACCAACACTGGGGGTCGGTAGAGGGAAGCAGCACAGTCTGTCAGAGCTTCTTAGGGGAAATTGCGGTTCTAGGAGTTAATCCTCACCGGATTCCTGCCGTGTTCATTTATGTATCTGTTTGAAAATACTTTTTTTAGGAGTAAATTTTTGCTGGACCCTCCCAGTTTCCTGTCTCTGTACCCAGACAGGGGCACTGCTCTCTCAGTCACCGCATCACCACTCAGAGGTTGTTCCCACCATCAGCTTTCCTGGTGTAACTCCCACCCCAGCTCACCTTCCAGAAAAGTCACACTCAGAATTCTCCATTAAAACAATCCCTTGTTTTTTAAGCCTGGAGGAATGGGGTGAATTGTCTGAGTGCCAGTGATGCACAGCACGCAAGCCTCGTGTCTCGCTGGTTTGGTCATTAAATGTCCCTTTTAATTTATCCTTTAACTGCCCTTTATTATGTTAAGTCTGTGTCCTTGTGCAGATCTCTCTCAGCTGATGCAGCAAAGCTGTGACAAAGATGCAGAACTCCGAGCTGTTCCCAGAAATGGTTTGTGCAGAGAGAGAAAGCAGCAATTTCTCTGTCCCCAGCCGATTTCCCAGTCAATAAAATTCTTCTCCTGGGTAGCAAGCACCGTGAGGATGCTTTATGTTATCTTATCTGTTCTTGAACATATTTGAGGAAGAAATGTACCCAAAAGAACTGTGCTGAAATAATTTCACATCCACATCACCAGGCATTTCCTTTGGAGAAGGGACCTGAGGGAACAGCTCTTATCATTTCACTTGTAAAAATAATAACCATTCCAAGATTCTCTGAACTGCTCTCTGGAAACATGTGGGGCAAAAGA